CCAGACTTCAACATTTTATTGTTAAAAAGTTTGGACTGGCTGAGGAATAGAATAGAATAGAATAGTCTTCGCTTTACTGGGGCTCGTTGCATTAGGGTTTCTATTTCGTCAAAAACTTGGTCAGAGGCAGCTCTCTTTCTCTTGAGTTGTTTCATTTTCACCTGCAATTCCCTTAATTAAAAAAGACGAGATTATAACAGTTTCAAATTAATCCACCAAGATAAATATCAAGAAATAGCAACATGCCAGTCATCGAAAACATTTCCTCTGCTGACGACTCTTCCTGGCGTCAATCGCTGCTAACTTACTTGTCTCTCTCTCTTTCAGTTGCGACGTCATGTAAGGAAGTGTATGACGAAAAGAAGTGAGCCAATGCACGCTTTTCCATTGCTTAAGATATAGAAAACATTTTCCGTGCTTTTATGGAGTCTTCGTATAAATCTACTAGCGTTCTATCACGACTGCTGCTCTCTGATTGGCTACGCTACTATCTATTCTGTTGTAGATAGTGAGTAGTGTAGTAGTGTSCGCTTGTTGACAAAATGACAGCCGCTTCTTTGCGTTTTCGAGGTGTCTGTAAAGAGCATCAAGACAAAGTTTTGGACGACTAGTAGATTTATACTAAAACAATTAGATTATTCGCTCCCGATTTCTATGCGTAATAGTTGACTTGGGTTGCGCCCTAGTCAACTGTCATGCGATAGAAATCTCGAGCTCGTAATCTAATTATTAAATAGAAACACGAGTGGAAGTTTGGGAGATCTAGGAATGCTGTGGGAACACGAGCCGACAGGCGAGTGTTTCCAAAGATTTTTCGAGTATGGTATCCGCGTAACATATTTAAAAAGCTCAAACATCCTCAGTACAGTTAAATCAAATTTTCAAATCTTACCGAGTGATTTTGAATGCGCTTTACACACTACATGGGTCACAACGGCTTCGCGTGCTTAGTTTATTTGAGTGCGGAGCCTAACTAACGTATGCAATTTTTTAACTTGAGAAAATTAGGAAATTATTTTTCAATCTGGGAGGCGCAGTGGCCTCATGGTTACTGCGCTCATCTCTGGATCGAGGGGTCCGGGTTCAAGCCCTGGCCGGGGACATTGTGTTGTGTTTTTGGGCAAGACACTTTACTATCAGTGTCTCTCTCCACCCAAGTGTATACATGGGTACGGCGACCTTAATGCTGTGGGTAACCCTGTGATGGACTAGCATCCCATC